TGACCTCAGCAATAGATGTAGCACTGGTATCACTAATACGATTACGAGACAAATTCAAACTAGTTAGCGTCTTGTTGACCTTGATTGCCTCAACAATAGATGTAGCACTGGTATCACTAATACCACTGTTAAACAAATTCAAATTAGTTAACGTCTTGTTGACCTTGATTGCCTCAGCAATAGATGTAGCACCGGTATCACTAATACCACTATTAAACAAATTCAAATTAGTTAAGGTCTTGTTGACCTTGATTGCCTCAGCAATAGATGTAGCACCGGCATCACTAAGAAGATTGACAGACAAATTCAAATTGGTTAGCGTCTTGTTGACTTTTATTGTCTTAGCGATCGATGAAGCACCGGCAGCATTAATACGATTCTGAGACAAATTCAAATTAGTTAGCGTCTTGTTGACTTTGATTGCCTCAGCAATAGATGTAGCACCGGCATCACTAATACGATTGTGAGACAAACTTAAATTGGTTAGCGTCTTGTTGACTCTGATTGCTTTAGCAATAGATGTAGCACCGGCATCACTAATATGATTGTCATACAAATTCAATTTGGTTAGGGTCGTATTGAAATCTTGCCTCTGGTTGTCATAAAAAAAAAATTGATAAGCTTCATGGCGGACAACTCGACGTAACTACAAACATATACCTCAAATCGTGTGCATATCATGCAGATAGTGCTGCACTAGTCCAGAATGCTGCACCTTTTTTCATGGGAATTTGAGCAATCCGAAGTCCTTTAAGGGTGCACTGTTCTACTTGTATGTCATTTAAAACATGTTGAAGTCGGCGAATCTACACGAAACTATCCTCACACCGGTCATTTGTCATAAACATGTACGTTATCACGATGCTGTATTTCTCCGTGAAGTTTCTATCGGTCGCTCCAAAGAAGACGAGAAATAGATATTTTTCATATATTTTAGCAGATTTCCGCTTTCTGAAGTAAAAACAAAACAACCAAAAAAAAAAAAAAAAAAAAAGAGGAAAACTTCGAATGAACGCTAGTAAACACTGAGAATCTGAGAGTATAAATCGTAACTGTCAGCGGCAGTACCACATGTAAAAACCCAGTTGCAATCGCAATTTGAACGACATGGGCATCTCCTTTCAAAGAGCAGATTCGGGCAGTTATCACTTCCTTGTGACAGGAACTAAGATATTTCGAATCATCTAAAAACTGTCGGAAAACTGTTAGAAAATTTGCATAAGATATGATGAGGAGAGACTTATCACCGCCGCAGTGCAATCGAGTCAATCGATATTTCCTTCCATATTGAAAGTTCGAAATAAAAGATTTAATGGAATCATAATGTCATAATTCTACCTTTCAAACAACTTATTATCCACACGTAAATCGCAACTTGTCACTTGAACGAATTTTCCCATGGTTAATATGTAATCTGGATTGCTTCATGTCCTTCAGGAAAAAGAAGAGTCAAAGGTCTCTTTAATTTTCCCCTGAGGTGGCCGGCTCACCAGGAAGAAACAGGAGATCGTTCGGTCCAATAACGTTGGTCTGTAGAGATTATCAAGCTAATAACTGAGAAGATTGTGCCCTTTGGTTGATCAGTGACAGTATTAATTATTTCAAATCTGTATTTCTCGGTCCAACCGACACTAAAAATAGTTCCTTTGTAATTTTGTAAGTACTTTCTATAGCATTTTATTGTCAAGGGAAATAAATCTCAAGGCTCAAAGCCAATATAACGTTCGAGCAAGTGAAAGACTCCCCGAAAAAAGCTAAATTTTTGGAAATTGATTGTGATGAAATTCCTGTTCCGTTTGCTGTACTGCAGGGATACTGAGTAGTTTAAAATCTCCACTTGGTGATGATTTTCGTGCGAGTCGTTCAAATTGCTATTGTGGCGACTGGGTTTTACATGTAGTACTGCCGCTGACAAGTTGCGATGTCTGCCCTCTCAGTGTTTACGAGCGTTCAATCGAGGTTTTCTTCTTCTTTTTGGTTGTTTTCACCTAGAATGCGCGGAAATCTGCTGATATTTCGAAAAATGTCCATTTCTCGTCTTCTATGGGGCGACCGATGGAAACTTCATGGAGAAATACGGATTCACGCCATCGTGACAACGTACATGTTAATGACAAATGACCGGTGTGAGGATAGTTTCGTGTAGATCAGCCGACTTCAACATGTCTTAAATGACATACAAGTATAACAGTGTATCTTCAGAGGACTTCAGATCGCTCGAATTCCCATAAAAGAAGGTGCAGCATTCGGAATCTGGATGATACGCACACGATTTGAGGTATATGTTTGTTGTTACGTCGAGTAGTCCTCCATGAAGGTTGATCAATTTTTTTTTAAAGATGACTACTAGAGGTGAGATTTCTCTTCGGGATATTGCTCATAAGATAACATTTTTTTAAAGCCTTGAATGTTTCATTTTTCTGAAACATTTATTGTTGAGAACATTAGAAACATCGCCAAATTGTGCAATATCTGATTTTGAGCTTCGTTTGCGAATTTCCCCCATAAAAAGTAGAGGCAGGTCCGCAGAGATTTTTACATATTTAATAACTAGAATATTATAACCAGCTAGGTGGGTAGTTTCAGTTGCAGAATCGGTGCACCTTTGGAGAAATTCAGATCAACGTTTTCCCTGTTTTACCCGACAACAAAAATGACCGAAACTGTACCGAGATGAATAATCTATTGCTGTGTTTACATTCACTCCCAGGGAAAATTGAATGAATCAATGTAGAGACGAATAATGTTACTATATATGATAGAAGTGCCAATTTGTAATGTTTTATTTAGCTCGAGATAGAGAAATAAAAATTTCAATTTTTTTTGCAACGTTTTTGTGTGAAAACGAGGCCCTAGGCCTCGAACAAGCAGCTTTTGTTACCATGGCAACAAGAGTGCTGCGACCTTTATAAAGGGTATTTTTGTGCATCCCCCCTGAACGCCTAACTGCATGCAAAATTTGAAGGGGGGTTGAAAATTTTCATTCCCCAAGATGTTTTATTCTTAGAGAGAGTTGTTCTTAATTCGGCTGTTTCGTCCTAGTTGGCAGCTAAACCTCGTCGCAAGCGCCCTCCAAAGGTTTTCAACACAGCACCACCACCAGGTCCAGGATCTGCAAATGAGGATGTTCCAGTGATAATTGTATATGATGTTGGTGTACAGGCAACTGATGATGACGCCCAGTTATTCTATTCTGTTGAGGAAGAGGTGGAGGAAATCTCCAAAGCCTTGGAGCTGCCAGATTTGGATGCCGAAGATTCTGATTGCGGCTCTGTCTTTGAGTTTTCATAAACTACAAAGTGTCAGTTTCACACTTTATCACTTTCTAAGCTGAAGTTAAAGGCCCATTTCCAACCTTGAGCCAACGCAGTCGTTTGTTTTCGTTTTGAACCACCGCTTTTGTTTAAATAGCGCCTCTGATTGGTCAGTTATTTTTACCTTGTAAGGTCTCAAATACCTTCTGCCTTTTCTTCGATGAACGAATTTGAAGAGCTTATCAAAATAATTCTGTTTAAAACAGTTCTACACGTTTTAATCCGGTATGGAATTGGATGAATCTATTGATTTAGTAGATTCCGAGGCAGTAAACGCTAATGGATCGGTTGTTGCTAAAGAGAAACGCGAAAATCCTTGCGAGCATTTCGAAGAAGGTGAAGATGTTGATCCACCACGTTTTCATTCATTCATCAATTTTTTTAATTGAAGTTTGCCATCCCTGTTAAATAGGACCACGGGTCAGTTGAAGTTTCCTGCCCGTGGAGAGGAACTTGCGCTCGAAAGAGTGGTCGGGGTTGTTGTCCATGCAAAGCAGCAAATAAGAATTGTAACGCAAACTGTCAGTGTCGCTGACGTTCGAGTTCCTGCAATGAAGTGACTACACTTAAAATAATTCAACGTCCGGCAGAGCGATACTTTTCCGAAATCCAAAAAATATTTATATGAAAATGTTCTACCTTTATGTACAATCCTCAAGCGCTTCCAGGCAGCCTAAAATTTCGAACTTGATGTTTCTCGCTAACCCTGTATACAGAGTACGAAGCCATCCAAGCGCTTAAAATTTCAATGACACGGCTGGACACGGTCCTCAATCAACTCCATATTTCTCTTTGAAATATACTAATTTTTCATTGGAAAATATTCTACCTTCATTTACAATCCTCAAGCGCTTCTAAAAAGTGAAAAAATGCCAACGTTCTCCGTTTCGCTGACCTTGTACACAGAGTACGAAGAAATCCAAGCGTGACACTAAGAAAATTTTCACCAGACACTACCGGACACAGTCTTCAAATAACTAAACGTCCGGCAGTCTGATATTTTTCCATATTTCTCTTTGAAAAATACCAGTTTCTATCGGAAATATTTTGTCTTCATTTAGAATCTTCAAGCGCTTCTAGAAAGTGAAAAAATTTGAATATTGTCCTTTTCGCCGACTCTTCACAGAGTACAAAGAGCTCCAAGCGTGACACTTAAAAAAATTTTTCTTCGGATTCTTCAAGACAAAATTCAAAATACTATAAGAAAACAGTGAAATAACGAACGCCGAATGTATTTACCGTAAAACTGTTGACTATATGTTCAGGATGGCTCTTGAGAAAGACGATCTTAGAAGGTTTTCAGTGATCTGGGAATTTCGTGTTACAGGAAATTGGGTCGCGGCGCGAGTTGCATCAAGTTTGGAAATGGACCTTTAACTTGTAACTGTAGGATAAAAAGAGGCTCCGAAAACAACAGTGAAATAAACAAATTCTCCCAGAGTACCATTCTTTTTTATTATAATAGATTAAGTATGCATCATTACAAGAAGATTTATTTTCCAGATTGCAGGAAAATGCGTTTCTGGGAGACTTATATTTTAAAAATTTCCCGGGGGAGCATGGCCCCGGACCCCGCTAGAGGTTCGGGCCTTCGGCCCTCAATTTTCAAAGATACCTGCCCACTTTAAAGACAGTGCCCTTCTACTTCAAAGTTGTTTAAACCCTGCCTCAGCAAGACATACCATTCTAAGACAAATCAAACTTGGTTAGCGTCTTATTCACTTTGATTGCCTCAGCAATACATGTAGCACCCGCATCACTAATATCATTTCTTCGCAAATACAACTTGGTTAGTGTCTTGTTCACTTTGATTGCCTCAGCAATACATGTAGCACCCGCATCACTAATACCATTTAAAGACAAATCCAACTTGGTTAGCGTCTTGTTCACTTTGATTGCCTCAGCAATACACGTAGCACCCGCATCACTAATACCATTCCAAGACAAATACAACTTGGTTAGTGTCTTGTTCACTTTGATTGCCTCAGCAATACATGTAGCACCCGCATCACTAATACCATTTAAAGACAAATCCAACTTGGTTAGCGTCTTGTTCACTTTGATTGCCTCAGCAATACACGTAGCACCCGCATCACTAATACCATTCTCAGACAAATACAAATTGGTTAGCGTCTTGTTCACTTTGATTGCCTCAGCAATACATGTAGCACCCGCATCACTAATATCATTTCTTCGCAAATACAAATTGGTTAGCGTCTTGTTCACTTTGATTGCCTCAGCAATACATGTAGCACCCGCATCACTAATACCAGTGAAAGACAAATCCAAAGTGGTTAGTGTCTTGTTCACTTTGATTGCCTCAGCAATACATGTAGCACCCGCATCACTAATACCATTCTCAGACAAATACAAATTGGTTAGCGTCTTGTTCACTTTGATTGCCTCAGCAATACATGTAGCACCCGCATCACTAATACCAGTGAAAGACAAATCCAAAGTGGTTAGAATCTTGTTCACTTTGATTGCCTCAGCAATACATGTAGCACCCGCATCACTAATATCATTTCTTCGCAAATACAAATTGGTTAGCGTCTTGTTCACTTTGATTGCCTCAGCAATACATGTAGCACCCGCATCACTAATACCAGTGAAAGACAAATCCAAAGTGGTTAGTGTCTTGTTCACTTTGATTGCCTCAGCAATACATGTAGCACCCGCATCACTAATACCATTCTCAGACAAATACAAATTGGTTAGCGTCTTGTTCACTTTGATTGCCTCAGCAATACATGTAGCACCCGCATCTCTAATACGATTCTCAGACAAATCCAAAGTGGTTAGCGTCTTGTTCACTTTGATTGCCTCAGCAATACATGTAGCACCCGCATCACTAATATCATTTCTACGCAAATACAAATTGGTTAGCGTCTTGTTCACTTTGATTGCCTCAGCAATACATGTAGCACCCGCATCACTAATACCAGCGAAAGACAAATCCAAAGTGGTTAGCGTCTTGTTCACTTTGATTGCCTCAGCAATACATGTAGCACACGCATCAGTAATATCATTGTAAGACAAATCCAAATTGGTCAGACTCAAACCAGTTCCAAACGACTTCGATAACTGCGAGTGAAAATCACTTTTTTCTCTTTTGCATTCGTTGATGGCCTCCAATACAGTTTTTGTACCACGGCCTTCATTTTTGTTGACTTCATTCGTTAAACTCTTTACAAGAGCCACAACTTGTTCATCGCATTTCATGGCCAAAATTCCACATGAAAACAAAAGTATTTGTTTAAGTTCAACGAAATACCTTGGATCGGAAACTAGTTCTTCAGGTTTCATTTCCTTGCTTTGAATCTGAGAACAAATGAAGAATGCTGCAAAGAATTCTTGAAAACTTTTATGTAAGAAGGCATAATGTAATGTTTGTCTCAGTTTGCTGGCACCAGGCTGCACTGAAAGAAATCCAAATTCAGTCAGGTCTTTTGCATGGTTTCTCACTTCACTTTCATTAAAATCCAACTTGTCGTCTCGTAAACCATTCAACGCTACCTTTCCAAGGTGATTCAATTGCGGTTTGTAATAATTTGTCAAGTCTTCGATCGTTTCTAGTAGTCCCTTCCTTTTTCTATATCTTCTCAAAACACATTCAACCATATCCAAGTACAGTTGAGCTCTGCTTTCGGGGAGTGTGCCCTCAAACTCTTCGCATAAAAGGCAAAGAAGTGCTGTGTTTAGAGGATTGGCCGCTATTTCTCTAAGGTTTTTATCTCGCGACATCCGTTGCGAGAGCTTGGTGGCTAAATCCGTTCTTTCTTTAAAGTACTTGGTGACAAATTCTATCACATGCTTTTCAGTGAATCCTTCGATCTGAAGTAGTGTGTCACAACATTTTCTCACCTCTTTTCCAGCTTCGTGTCTTGCTGTTGCAACTATGTGGCATCTGGGGAGTTCTCTTCCTTCAATTAATTTGGAAAACATCGACAATTTCCCGGATGGTGACTCATCCAATCCATCCAATATCAATAGAATGCTGGACTGATTTTCACGAATAAACTGAAAAAATTGTTGTTTGACTTTTTCATCGATGCCTAGGGGCAGCAGCTGATCATCAATGGCTTCCCAAACGTCAGAGTGGATATCTCGACATTTCAGCAACAATACCACTTTAACTGCTGTTGAACCGCAGCCCTGAGATTCTTGCTGTTTTGTGGCCCAGTCGTAGGCGTACTTTTTACAATAGGTGGTTTTTCCCATACCAGGTTCTCCTTCAATCAACACTGTTCTCGGCGCTGAACACTCTTCATACGGGTCTAGTATTGAAGACATCTCAACAAATACGTCAGTGATTTCTCCTCTCGTTTTCTTTCTTCTGACCACTTTGAGCCTTGTAAAAATATTGCCAAGAAAAAACTGAAACTCTTCACACCATGGAAATGGTGAGAGCCACCCCTCGCGAGTCTTGTACAGCTGGCGAATTCCATTGATAAGCTCAGTTGGGTCAAAAATACCTAGCAGTAGCAAAATAAGTAAGAAATTTAATGAATGCAGCGTTGAAAATTGTGGTACCTCTCTGGTATTCGGCACCGAATTTAAATATGCGAACGAGTACGATACCGTTGCCAAAGAAATTACTAAAAGGTTTTAGTGTATGATTCATGCCTACTGATTAAAAGCCATTTAGATTATGAATTCAGCTGAACCTATTCTGTTTGTTCGACTTTAGCGGTGTCTAACAGTGAAACTCTGTCGTAAAATAAATTACTCGGGAGATAGATATTCATATCATTGGAGCCGTAGTCTGAGCAAGGCTTTTTCGGGATATAGCGAGGCTACGAACTAATAAATGAAACCCAAACAACGCCTTTCTGCCTTCTTTGTCACGCGGTTTCATCAAAAATGCTGCAGAAAACTGGAGGCTCGCCTGCGATGAAGTGGGAGGTTTTGCCAACAGTCTTTTCCTTAGGAACCTATTTTACCAAAGACGATCCTCATTCAACTAATTTCCCATGTAGAATTGAATACTCCACAATATGAGCGCAGGAAGGGTTTAGTTATTTTATTCAGAAATATGCGGATTACATCTAATGCTACTGGTATTCGGCACTGAATTTAAATTAGTGAACGAGTACGACACCACTGCCAAAGAAATTACTTGGACGATGAAAAAGGTATCAATGTATGATTCATGTCAATTTACTGACCAAAAGCTATTTGGCTTGTAAATGCAGTCGAACCTGCTCTGTTAATTTCTAACATCGAGCCGAACTTAATGCCAATGTTTTCGTTAAAACTGTACTTCGTTTTATTTCGTTCTCCACTCTACTCAAAATATAAAGTTTTCCAAGCTAATTACGGGTGAAAGTTTGAACAATTGGAGGGAATGAAAGTACACCGCAGAGATTATTCCAGAGATTGTCTAAATTGAAAAACTGAAGCCCTTTCACATAGGATGATCTCTCCCTCTCTCACATACAGGCCATGTTGACTACGGCGAAATTTGCGGTTAAGCAGGATGACTTTTACTGTATAATTCAACTGACCTTCATCCTTGCTTTCTCCCACTGAGACTGTCAAAGTACACAGCTTTTCCTTCACTTCTTTCAGTTCGCTGTCCATCTTTACCATTTCGCCAATCATTTTCTCAAAAGACCCTTTCGTGGAATAACATTGGAATTTTTAGTCCGAGTGAGTCACTTTATTCATTAAAAGTTAACTAAATAGATCCTTTTCCCTTCCTCTGTTGTTGTTATTTTATTGTTGTTATTGATATCATTAGAGTCGATAGTCTGAGTAAGATTTTTGTCGGTAAAAAGCAACATTGTAAGAACTAATTTAAAAAAACCAAAGAACGCTTTTCCGCCCTCGTTTTCACTTCGTTCACTCATAGAAAAAGGAAAACGCTGACACAAATCAGAGGTCCGCCTGCAATGCATTGTGAAGTTTCGTTCACAGTTTTTCGCTCGGGACAATTAAAATAAGCACATACGCCTTCTCCTGCCCCTTTTTACTAACACAGCCCTCATTCAGCAATATTTTCCATGTAAAGTGGAATACTCTACAAAAAATTTGAGTGGAGAAAGGATTGCATTACTCTGTTCAAGAATATGCAGGTAAAATCTAACGAATTAGGAAGTTAGATTCGTTATGTCCTTAACAAAAGTAAAACTAAAATAAGGCAATAACCCTTCTCGGCCAAATGTGTATGAGTGCTGTCAGAAAGCTATCCAATCTGAGAGGTAGCCTGAGATTCCGTGCCATCCCATTCATCCCACACATTACCTGGTATCTTCATTTGTAGCCAGAGTAGGTTTATCTTAGTAGCCAAGATGTGCTCTTACAACAATACATTACCTGAAAAGTGTTAAATTAGCCGACATCTAGCGAATAATGTGGTCATGCTCAAAAGATGTGTTTTGTACTCAAGTTAACGGAATCCCTGTTGATAGTTCAGTTTATCTGTGAGTAACTATTTCTAGCAACCAACCTTCATCTGTGCTTTTCTCCACTGTGGTCGTCAGGCTACAAAGCGTCTCTTTAACCTCCTTCATTTCAATCTCCATCTTCTCAGTTGTATCTCTGAGGTCATTTAGCGAATCTGCATTGGTAAGAAAGATAAGCGCAATTTCATAAGCACAATTACCTCACAAATTCACATTAACGTGCAGATAAACAATGACACCTATGTCAATATCTACTCGATTCCGAAGGGATCAAGCTCAATAAGACGCTTAGAAATCACAAAAATGCACTCCAGCAATTGTACACGAGTACCCACGAACAGACAAAAATACTGCCAATGAAAACACACGGTGGACATTTGGGTTAATTCTTAATTTTTCACACATAACGCTGGACTAACGTTCCAAATATGTGACTAGTTCCAACCAAAATGAAAACATTATGAGTTATACTATACTGCTGTGTTTTATTGGGCAAAAAAAAAAAAAAAAAAAAAAACGCAAAGGAAACCTAGAGACCCGTCTGCAACGCAGTGGGAGGTTCTGCCTGCAATCTTTTCCTCAGGAAATGTAAAATAACCACACGCATCTTATTCCGGCCCATTTTACTCAAGACAATTTTAATTCAACTATTTTCCCATGTAGAATTGAATACTACACAATATGACCGGAGGAGGGATTTGGTTATTTTATTGAGAAGTACGTGGGTCACATCTAACGCTACTAGGAAATTAGATTCATTATGAGAAAGATGAAATAAAAAAAGAACGAGTGGTGGCCAGGGTGTGCCCTTAGACCAGTAAAGTACAAAAGTATGCTGTGTTGGCCGACATCCAGCGATTACCGTCATCATGCACAAGAGCTGCGTCATGTACTCAAAGAAACAGTGTCGCTCTTCATAACTTTTTTTCTGTGAGTAGCTCTTTCTACCAACTAACCTTCTTGTGTGCTTTTTTCAGCTGAGGCCGTCAGACTAGTAAGCTTTTCTTTCACCTCTTTCATATCAATCTCTATCTTGTCAGTTGCGTCTCTGAAGTTTCTTCTCATGTTTTCCAGCGAATCTGAAAATTACAAAAGGTATGCGCATTTTCATAAGCAAAATTATATCACAGCTTCACTTTGTAGCCTTCTGGTTCATCCTCATTGACAGTACACAATGCTTTTCTTACCTTCAATTTCTTCAAGCTTGTCTTTGATGCTGTCGTCGTCTTTCTTCCATTGTTTCATCAGTTCACGATAATGCTCCTCGATATCTGGATCCATGCCGTCGTGCTCAAGTTTGTCGATTTCAGCTCTAACATGAGCTCCTCCCAGTCTCACCAAAGCTTCTCTTACTTCTTTCCAGTAAGCACTGAAACTACTGTCATCCACAGAGGCTTGAGGAACATGGCCGTATACAGTGTTCCTGTAATACTTGACTCTGGCGATGTCATCTGCGATGCTTATGTTTGTAGCTGGGGGAAGACGATCCCATCCATTGGCAGGAGGGCCCAAACCACAGATATTTCTAAGAAGCACCGTTAGAAGTGTGATATCGAAGGATGCAGAAGACACAGGTGCGTGAGAAGGGTACAACTTTCCCCATTGCGTGGGATTCAGCACTTTCTTCCTCCCTTTGTACAGTGATTTCAATGTGGCGTAATGCACTGAGGTACTTCCCAAAACTGTTTGTAGAGTCGCTGGTGGATGTATTGTGTTAAAAGTGGACCGAAGCACCTGAGATCCAACATCCACCAGGAGGCGGCATAACCTTGCATAGTTAGTAGTCTCTTTCGTAGACGCAAATGGTGAAATAGCCATAGCCATAATACTAACTTTTCCAGGATGACCTGTCAAACAGAGAATTGACATTAAGTGATGCTAATCAAACCCATTCGAAAAAAAGAAAAATCCTGATAGCCAATTGAGACCGAGAATGGTTTCAAATCGTGATATCATTTTCTAAATCCTTTGGAGCAAGGAACACCAACGAAAGAACCTAACAAGAGATTTAATCTAAGATTTTTCATTTCAACCCAGTTTTTAGATTAAGAAAGAGTTTTGTTTTTTAGTAAACAAAGTGCCAACCAGAGACATAAACAGCAAAAATGAAACGCGATTTGAAAGTTTGAGGGGAAAGGAATCACCGAAAAGAGTGTTCATTTCCTCTCGGGGGCCGTAAACTTAGTCAGTTCTGGTGGCTCGTTGACGTTTGATTCTTAATGGAATGGAATCTACCTTCTAAGTACCAAGGTCGACATAAGGTGTAATAATATTCTTGAATATTTTAAGTCAGGCATCTTCTTGAGATCTACCAATCCAAGACCTCTCCCTCACTAATAACAAAAGCATCTGTTAAAATCTTTCATAACCCAGCACGTAACCTTACCTTGAGTGTCGTATTGCAAACCAATTGACCTTAAATACGTCTGAATTGTTTATCGATGCTTAAAAAGAAGATAAAACTGGACATTAGCGTCTGCTATAAGATTTCAATGTGGAACAGCTGCCAAAGTACACAAATAAGCTAGCCATGCTACTACAACAAAAATCCCGAAACACATATTTCCCAATAATCACCGCCACTGTTACGCATTAAATTCAAGCCACTCGCGTGCAGATCATCACATTCTGGCACATTACCACCTTTAACATTGCCAATTGACCACTGCATAGGAAAGTTTTAAAATTGATCTAGGAGTAGTAACTGCGACAACATCACCAACTATAATTTGTCACCGAAGAGATGAAAAAAACCAAAACCGTTAACCCCTACATCCGCCAGCTCTCAGTGCTTCCGAAACTGCTACCACACGAGAACTAAAATCATCACTAACAATCAAGTAACACACAAAATCAAGACATGCTCAATGCATTAAAAGGCAAAGCCATAGGCATTAAGCCAATACCACCACCACTCAAACCAGAGTCACCTCAATTGGCACATAATTACTCTTTTTGATAAAAGAATCACCAGTGATTTAAGAGCAGCTTCAGTCTCCAGAGCAAGGACAAGTCCAACAACAATGCCACCAGCATTAATACAAAAGCCACGTTTCTACTACTTCATGTAGCTTCAAAAAGATCCGAGCATTGCCAGCGCGACTATAATACATAAACCTGAAAACCTCCATAACTCTAATGTGATCCACAAGCTGACACAAACATATAGACCACAGTGAAACATCAAAGCAAGACAACACAACCTCCATGTACCACCCTGCAAAGATCACTGCACAAACTTGGTCATTTGAAGCATAACTGCAGAAGTATTATCCATCACCATCCCAACAAGGACAAGAAGTACATAACCACAAGCAAACTACACTGTGTTAGGAAAATTGTCATCAATACGGGAATCAGTGTGTTACCAGGTCAGCCGATGGAACCAACTCCATGACTAGACCAGGAAATACTAACACAACAAATACCGAAATGATATTACTTCAGGTCAGTGAGTTTACAAAAATCACTAAATGACAGCTTACAGCTAGAAGGCAAAATCCATGTAACACACCTTAACTATCCCAATTTGTATGGCATTAGGCAATATGGGGTATTAATCATCACTCTAAATGGAAAAGTAAATGCAATTCTTCACAGGTATATCACCTAACCTGACACCAGGTCTCCCTTCCAGTACCAAAATTCCTGGAGCAACCCAGAAGGAATTTGTAGATTTCCTCACCAGCTTCTACTTCACTATCACACCTGGGAACATCAAAAGCCTTTTTAAAACTCAGGCAATTCGTGGTTTCTCTGCTTATTGATATTAGATCAGTACAGCCCTTGAGAACAGATTGCACAGTCACTGTTATTAAATGCACCTTTTTTAAGTTATGTATTAACTCTGCCACATGAAGGTAACTCTAATTGTTACTGATACAATACAAGGTCATTGAAACTTGTGCACCAGTACAAAATATGGTGTCCCAGTTCATGGAACAAAAAAGTCTGAGTCAACAGATTTAAAAGTCTCTATAATATTACCACCTCCACCAGCAAAATGTGCCTAACAGCAAACCCACCACTTGCAGTTACCACAACAGTTAGGGAAAAGAAACTCAACAAAAAACTTTGTTCTACATGCAGCATCTCAAAAATTTAGGGGATGCAACCTCCATTTGCAACTGAACCTGCAATGACAAAGAAGCCACATGGGATCACTAGCATGCACTATCGTGTGGCCAGCAGGAACATAACTTCTAGAACTGGAGCTAAATTCCAGTAAGAGGTTTCCTACCAACTTGGTACACATTATTTTATCAGAAGAAAGATATTTTTATGCCCTGTCATGTGCATGGGACAAAGTCAGAAATCTGAATCACCACAAGAAGTTGAATTATAAAACTTCAGCTGATTCCACCCACCACTAAGCCAGTAACAGCAACTGTAAGCAAGGCAAGGCCAATAATTACTAGGTTAATCTGGCACCCCTGTCACAAACTGCTGGCAGGTCTTCAACCACTGGCATTAATTATTCAGTCAATTACCAAAATAAACAACTCTTAGACTAGACCTTTTCCATATTCCAGGGTAAGAGAGGGGAACTCAGTCTGAATTAATGCATTTTCTCACCAACAACCTACTGAATTATCTACCCAAGGGATTAACTCAGCATCAGAGTGGCACTTTTTACCTCTCAAATTGGTGTCCCGGTGCATTCATCTTTACACAAACAAAGCCCCAGACATCAGGATAAACTAGTCAGTCTCAGTATACACCACCACTTTAAAACATTTACAACAAATAACAGTAAGAAGCAGCTCTGGCCACCATTATAAGGTTAAGTGCAGCAATCCCAGCCATTTGTTACTGGTGCCAAAGCCATATTTTCTAGGTGCCTCTAACCAATATATACAGGAAAACAAACATCTAAACACAGTCAGAAGGGGTTGCTGTGTTTGGAAAATAAAATCTCTCATTGCCCAACAGAAAAGAAAGATATATATCATTCAGTATATAATTGCATGATCAGACTGAGCATATGCATCCTTCATGGTCACTCCTAGAATGACCACAACAATTACAAGCTAGAAAAATAGTTATTTACAACATCGCTGAGGCACATCCACCACCACTCCAAGAAGGACAAACCATTGATATTATACAACATTGTGGTGGGAATAAACTAGTTTGATGGTCATCACAAGCACCATGCAACAACGTACCACTACCTGGTGATTATACACACCTACTGCTCCATAAGTAATGACCAACAATTGCATAATAAATCAAAACCAGTCAGAAATCTCCTTTATGATAATGCATGCAAGTATTATCAGATTAACCACAAGTGACAAATCTCTAAACATGAAATCAGGTTTCCCTAACACTTCACCAAGATACTAAACCCATACAAATCTGCAGAACACAGCCCACAAGTCAGTTAGACATGAGAGAAAAAATCTTTGCCAGCTGCCCTGAGGCAAAGCTCCATATACACTCATATGAAACTTCTATTGGCCATTGCAGCCCTACAATAATGACAGAAACCAGACATACACTTATAGAACTGCAGAGCTTTCAAAGGATATCATACACCACCACTCTCAAGAGTAGATCAACTATATAAGGAGCATCACAGTAACTTGGCAAAACCTATGATAGACAGTTTGCAGGAATGTACTAATTTCCCAAGACATGCAACCATGGGGTGATAATTTCTAATCCATGTACTTTGTCAAGGATGGAACCAGCTCTCTGCACAAGATCTTGCATATTCCTGTTTTAGGAGGGGAGCTTAAACTTTGATTTTATATAAATTAACAAGTCTTAATGAACCAGTGACTCAATGACCACCCAACACAGCAACCAAAGAGATGACTCAACCAGCATAAAATTGAGTCTCTCAAGTGTTAATGTTCATATGTCAACATACAGTTGAAGCACTCTACAAACCAAGCTGTACTCAGTAATTAAACTAACAGTATATCAGAAGGAACACCAGAATTTCTACAACATTTTCTAAGAGTATTTCCACATGTTTGTAGCAAAACATAATCACAACCATTGATCACAACATAATTAAATAGGTAAGTAATATAATGCAATTAGTTCTTGACATAACATTACCAGGCAAAATAATAAAAAAAAAATTAATACTCACATAGATATGAGTGAAATGAGAGCTTGCACAATTTTAAACAAATGCAAACAGGACACAATTATTCCCAGCAAATAAATTATTAACCCTTTCATTCCCACATCAAATTTGTAATTCTCCTTACTCCCAACCATACAATTCTTATAAGGTTAGTTCAGAGAATTTAGTATTGAATCAACTAATTATCCCCAAATTTATATTTTTCTTTACTCTCATCACTTATCTGGTTGATATTGTGCTGATTAAAGGAGAAATTCTGTCTTGGTCACTGATGGCAATTAAAGGGTTAATACAGATTGACAAAATGAAGGCAAGTTTCAAAAATGAGAGAAAAAAAAAGAGCAGCAAGTCCTCCTACCTTGTTTAGAGTTTCCTGGGTTCAAGAAAATAACCCTTGAATCAGGGATAAAGTCAGAAAGTCTGAAAATGGAAGCAGCAGAACAACAGTTACTATATATCAGTTATGAAAGACAATGACAGTCACAAATAAGGGCACTAACAGGTGCCCCAAGGTTATAAGTGGTATTAACGGCAACATTATATAATTATATCAAAGTACTTTCTTATTGTCAGCCGAGTTGATAAATAAATGTAAATATGCCTCTGCGATAAAGTTAAAAGCTGACAATTTGTTTGCTCTGACAAAGGGCTAACACTCAAAATGTCATCTTTTTAAACCTTATCAACTCAACTGATAATACTAAATAATATTATCCTGTTATACTCTCCCACCAAGGCAGCACCACAGTTTCCTTAGAAACTTATACCCCCTTTATTCATTTACAATTATCAAAAGTCAACTAGAATTAAAAACAACAACAACAACAACAACAAAAAACCACCATGATTCACAAAGGCTGACCAAATGTAACCCTCCATATGATAACAATCCAGGGACAAAAATGAGAACACACACAAAACATCAAAACATTGTGCTGAACGCATAGCTTTAAAATCTAGTTGTATTCCTTATTCTGTAGTTAGATTTTGTGCTTGAGGTAAAAACTTCCTGTTATGGACATATTACACAATTTTTGTTACGGACATTACTCTGTGGAACTTTTTCTTACACTGGTAAGAAGAAGGATATATTTTTATTTATTTAATATGAACTTTTGATATTACTGACTTAGTCAGAACTGATAAATTTATCTTAATCAGGCCCAATTACAAGTTAATTCTCTTTTTTGGTTCAGCTGATAATCAAAACATCATTACTAAACTTAGGTGTACATGTAATGGTGGTATCTGGAGTATTCCATAAAGAGCATGCTCCTTACAATTCATTTTTAATGAGCATGCTCTAACTAGTGTTTTTGCTGTCTTTTGGTTCTTGCTTTCTGGTGCAGATTTCTAGTGTGACACCGAGTTTTACATTGGAAGAGCCTTTAGGGTTACTGATAATGAGGTTGAAATCAAATTTCTTCACCAAGTTGTGAAAACATTAAACTGGCCAGGAGCAATTTTGATATTGTCCACAAGAGAAGAGTCTTCTATGACTCCAAAGAGCTTAAAAGCACTGGATGTTTCCATGTTCCAAGTCTTTCATATATCAAGAGGCTTTTTAAATATCTTCAAAAAGAAAATGTTTTCAAATTAATAATCAAATTAGCTGCAGATTGCAGTAGTTAAACACTGCTTTAATTACAAAACTTGGATTGTTCTGAACTTTTTGTAAGAGTACTATTCATTGACTATTAATAAGCCAGTTGATACTATTTTGGAAAGTTACACTGCACTGAACTGCATGAATTGACAACTTTCTCTATAGTATTATCAGTGCAATGGCCTTTGAAAGTTGAAGTATTGCTTGTTTTAAGCTACATTTCTGAAACATTGCATGCTATATTTTAATTTGTTATCTTCAGATATTATAAAAGAAGGTGCTGACTCTAAATATATGTCTCAGAAAACTTAATTCACACTTGGACTCACACTTTTTGAAAATTTATACCCCTCATGTTAGCATGGTGTTACTTCTCCTAATCAATGTACAGTTGTTGTTATGGTTATTGTTAATGGTGTTTAGTTAAAAGCACTGAAAACTTGGATGTGATAAATTTGAACAAAATTGGTTTGCATGTAGCATTTATTTCTCCAAAGAGAATTACCATAATTAAAGTCATGCAGTCATAATGTCCATAATATAATATGTCTTTAATGTAATGTAATGTCTTTAATATGATTTCCATTACATGAAGTGGGCTTTATGTTTTCATGTGTTTTCCAGGATTTCGATAATTTATAACACTCAAGTTTAAGCCCCTAGAACGTAAAAAAGGAGCCAGGCTGACAAAAAAATGGTTTTTAATTTCAGAGAAAACAAAAAAAGAGGACTGGTTTTTATTATGGACATTACAGTATTGTGCAAAAGTAATGCAAACGGAATTCGGCGAATTTCGTTAATTGTTCTAACGATCTTTCGTCGAAAGTTCTAGCGAAAATTCGATCGAAAGTTCGAGGCCTCTTAAGCGACATTTCGTTTGAACAAAGGGCGCTTTTTCGTTGAATTTTCGCCACAAAGCGAAACTTCGCGGCAGAAAGTGTCTCTTCGATCATTAGTGCTCGAAATTTCGCTTCGAACTGACAATAGACTTTCGCGAGTAATCAAGTTTGTTTACTTTCATGTAAGCAACACGAAATGTACATATAAACGTATTTCCAGTCTTTTTTAGTCACTAGGACGGAGACACTTCATACTTGAGACTAAACACAGTAGACAAAAGGTCAAAATATCGAAAAGCATCACGTCCGATTCTGGGCTCGATTTGTGTTTGACAACGAAAGTAAATCGGAAAATTTTCCCAAGCGTCTTACAGTAATTCCGAAGATACATGTACTCAGCTGAAATTGTCGCCCAGACAAATCCAGATATTTTTCACATCAACTTCAATTTCCTGACGTTTGAAGAGGCCTAAACCATCAAATCCAATTCAGAGTTCGATCAGTTTACAACAATGAAAGTAAATCGGGATGAATAGCAATTCCGACCAAGAGACATGTATTTCATGGAAATAAACTCTCAAATGATTGCAACAGTTTTTAACATTAACCTAAGTACTCCGCTTTTTAACCAGACGGAGCAGAGAACATCTTTAGTGTGTTTTCAAACGTTTTCTATTGGGAAAAATGTTTCTTGTTTATTCGTTTTCGATCCCTGCGCAAATAGACATCACCCATATCGCTGATTGCAGAATGCTTTCCAGATATCACAACACCATGTTTTTTCGGAAATATTTATTCTTTACAACAAAACACTGAATACCAATTTGTGACGACTGAAAACAACAATTAGTTTAGTCACATTGCTCTATTTTTTCGTAAATTCTGACATCTTTTGCCAATACTTATTTTACACTGTTTCCACATCCGTCGATTGTCTTCCATTCCCTGGCATTGATAAGAAAAGGAGGTCAGCACTTCAGCTGAAAAGAATGCAAATGAACAGCGATTAATCAATGTTGACAAATAAACTGGCTATTCATCCTGGCTTCCTAACCACCAACATAAATAAATAACTACAATCCGGTGAGGGTTATTAAGAAGTTCCTTTCAAACAGAATAAAGTCAGCCCCAAATTATACATTGCGATTTTAAGAAAACAAATTCCATATCTGCGTAGTTTTTAACAATAAATATTCATCTACTCACTTTTAATTGCATCAAGTTTGTCTTGGTCAAGGGGAGCAAATTCCTTGGTACCCTGAACAGTTGACTTCGTAAGGGCGTCTTTTGTAAAGAGGTGGTCAACTAGACGAAGGCTCATGACGGTGGGTTTGGAGGCAGCCTTCGCAAAATTGTAGTCAGATTTTGTCAGCCGCACATTAGCATTTCCTCCAACTGCAACTGTACCATTTCCTTAAAAATAACATATAAAACAGGTAAGTTTCATTCTCAAAATAGTTTTATCCATCAAAACTAATTTAATGCTCAGCAAGAGTGTGAAGGATCAGGCAAGTTCACGGATTTCTATTTGGGTATTTTTCCTTCACACAAGTAAAATAAACGATATTATTTACCATCTTCCATAGGACTACACATAGAAGAGGACTGATTTGGACAACGAACTTCCACGTCCTGCGGCCTAGGCGTGACAGGGTGCGGTGGAAATTCAGCGGAAGAATCGGTCGGCAATGGCGTCGTAAAATGTGAGTTAACTGGTGTTAAGGACGTACACAGAGGAGTTTGCAGCAAAGAAGTTGAAGATGTCAGCAAGGTCAGGATGCGATCCATCTTGGCCTCCTGCCTGGCAAAGGAGCACTCAAGCCTGCCCAAGACAGTCCCGATAAACTGAAGTTCTTCAGTCGCCATCATTTGGGTGCTGTAGTCATTCTGGTTCGTCCACTATATAAAAAATATTAGGCATGTCACATCCAAAAGTGTAAAGCTAAGTTTGAAACCCTGATTTATTTCAAAGCCGCTTTTTATTCCAATGGACGAAATGGCCTAAATGCTTAAAATGACATGCTTTGAAGTTTAGGTTAAGTGAAGATCAAAAATGTTTTAGGTTATGACTTACACTTGCTGTATTGTCAATAGTCCTGATGGCTTTGGATACTAGGTCTGGGGTAATTCCAAGGTCTTCTTGCGAAAAACTATTAGATTCAGCCTCCACCGCTGTTATGGAGGACAAAGGATATCCATCTTCTTCACCATCAAATGAATCCGACGAAGAGATCACAACTGATGAAGGTGATGCTGTATCTAAAATCTAACAAGATCTCTCTAACAGGATCTCGATTCTATTTCTAGAATAATTTGAAACTTTTGCCATGATGACTATCAAAAGTAGAGTACATAAATGATCCCAAACGCATCGACACAATTAATATACTGAGTGTTGCCATGGTTGCAAACAATATAGGGCGCGCCGAGACTGGAATCGTAGCGGGAAATTTTATGGGACTATTAAATAGTGTAGTAACCAACCACAAATTCAACCAAATCTTTTTGAGAAGAATGAACAATAGAACGAATTTTCGCCCCGAAAATTCGCCACATAGAACGAATTTTCGCTCGAAATTTCGAGTCGCATTTACGCCATCAAGGAATTTGTCGCCGAAAGTTCGAGCCGTTCAAAACAATACATGCCTCGAAAATTCGCGGAAATGTCGTCGAAGTTTCGTTTCGGTCAAGAATTCGTCGAAAAGTCAGGAATTTCGTCGAATTTCGTCGACAGGTGTTTGCATTACTTTTGCACAATACTGTATGTAATATCCATAACAAAATAATGTTACTTACTCTCATTTACATGCACAAAGTACACCCATTTTAGAAAAAAACTTAACCACAAGTTCTTCCTTGTGTTGAGTTCTGTTAGCTTTGTTCCTCTGGTGAGATTTAATGAATACATGTGTCTTATTTAAATCATTTTAAACCTTTCAGCGTGTCAGCCATTTTCACACACTTTTCATTGGACAAAAATAAACAGCCTCTCTTAGCCATTTGCCACAAAGTCAACTTTCAGATTACTATTTTTTAAACAATTAAGGGTCTCCTTAATCTAAAAATCGATGATTGGGCTAGATATGAAATATTTTAAATTTCATCATTTAAGCAGTTGTAAAATGGTATGGGCCATGATGATTTTCATTATTTTTTATTTCAATTATTTCATTGATCCCCTAAAAATCCCTCTGGCCATCCAATGAAATATTCTTTTACATAAACATTTTGGCTGTATATAACTGTGATTTATGAATATCTTGAACATATTGGATTGTTTCAATGTAATTTTCACAATTAATCCAGCACTGAGTTAGATTTTGTGCTTCAATATGCTACAAACATCATCAAAAGTAACCTACACATGTAAAAAAGTAATTGAAGTGTCTGCTTTAAATCCTAATGCAACTCATTCACAGCCAAATGTTCCAACTTTGTTTTTGCTAATCAAGAAGTTGATAATTATAAACATGGATGTTTTCAAGTAGAAGTATGTTGTGTCTGAGCTTTAAAGCTTGCTATCACCTTTCTCCCAAAAATCATATGGATGGTCACAAATACAGAACCTTGCATAAGAGCAAGCAGTTGCATCCCATACTGGTCATTACACCTGTAACAACCAAAGCAACTTTCTAATCATTAGATACATTTCAGCTGCAAGGTCCAACATAATAAGACATGATGTCAAACACTATTGAAGGATGACAACATTCAATTTATACTCCTGGCGTAAATTCAAAGGATCGAACCACCGGTTATTAAGATTGATGCTAATTTAACTAGTGACCTATCTTACTACTTTAACATTATGTTTCATATTCAAAGCAAACTGATATTCATGAAAAAAAGAGAATAGCCCATAATAACATAAACATTTTTCATTCCCATGAGAATAAGACACAAAAAATCCTTACATAGATGTATTATATTAAAGAGGGAAAAATGGAAAAAAACATATGTACCTACCCTGTTAAGATTTCCTGCCTTCAAAAAATCACAATATGAGCAGTCAGAAAATGATGGATATGTAATAATTTCTGAAAAAGAAAAACATAAAATAAATATTAATCAAATGTGAGAGATATTGACAGTCACAAAAATTCCATTTAAGGTGCTATATTTATTCCTTTAACTCCCATGAGTGACCAACACCAAATTTCTCCTTACAATCAACCAAATAAGTGACAAGAATTAAGAAAAATTTCAATTCAGGGATAATTAGTTGATCCAATGCTAAATCCTCTGAACTAACATTATAAGAATTGTATAACTGACAGTAAGGAGAATTACAAATTGGATCTGGGAGTTAAAGGGTTAAGGCAGTAATTTTTGCTATTGAACAATAAAATGAACTGAAGAAGAACTGGGAACTGAGGAAATCTAATATGTAAATATGTCATTCAACAAATTGCCAAGGAAAACTTCAATAGTTTTTGGGAAACTTAGCTTTGAATCAGCTGTTGCATAATTTAACGTCTGCAAACTATTCAGTGGTTCCTGTTACTACTAAAGTAAAGCCATATGCTAAGGCACAAAGAAAGATTGCTTTGGGATTAGAGTTCAAATGCTCAATAACCTCTTCAGTGCACACTGAACCTCAGTCGCCATTTTCTTTCCATCCCACCCTCCTCAATGGTTATTTGTTATGGAAATATTCCCTATCTTTTGGATTTCTGTATAAGAAAGCCTCTCTGTTAATATTATGTTTTAGCACTGTTAGATTTATCAGCTTATATGCATCAAATTAGAGTCACATCTTGTGGAAAATTAGTTACCTATAACTAACTTATAAGACTGCACAATTTGTCCCAAACATTACTTGTGGTCAAATGTCCTATGATTTATCAGATTGAATTTAAAGGCACAATAATTTTGTTGAAAAAATATCATTGATAAATAATGCCTAACCCAAGTTCTTGGAAAACATATTATTGAATTAGAGAAGGCAAGTCATTCTCTAGCACCGGAAAACAAACTGTGAGGAAAGGGTTTTGCTTTCAGTTTCCTGTCCCCTTCAAAAATAGTGACTTCTGCCTTGACTGATATGCATTGCACCTTCCAATCATTTCCCTTTCCCATTAATCTAGATTTATTAATGACTGCTGGAAGTAAAACAGCTGGTCTGAGTACAAAACAGACCCTTACTGAAATATGAATTTCAAATAAAGTGATCTTTTAGTGTGCATCAATTCATAATTTATGAATCTACTTACCCCTCACATGATCTTTTTGAGAATGGTGCTTCAAACAAAATAATTACACCCGGGGCATGTGAAGAGGCTACGCAATCGTCCTGAAAAGAGAAAAAAAAAGCTTACATATCAATTATATCTTCACCATATCTTCCATGACCAGACCCAAAACTGCACCAATTACCAGTACCATCATTTTATTAACACTAATTCTGGGTACCAATATTTGCATAAAATCACCATGGTAGCAGCAACTTGCTAGAGGGTACCTTGAAGGACTTATGTTAGGTTTAACTTGGCAAAACCTATGATAGACAGTTTACAGGAATGTACTAATTTCCCAAGACATGCAAACATGGGGTGATAATTTCTAATCCATGTACTTTGTCAAGGATGGAACCAGCTCTCTGCACAAGATCTTGCATATTCCTGTTTTAGGCGGGGAGCTTAAACTTTGATTTTATATAAATTAACAAGTCTTAATTAACCAGTGACCCACTGTACCATAACATCTGATGAAATATGACTTTTACACAAACATTTTGGCTGTTAATGGCTATTTGTAATGGTGTCATTTATGAATATCTTGAACATGTTGGATTTTTACACAATTGTTGCAATTCATTCACCACTGGGTTAGATTTATGTGCTTCAACATGCTACAAACATCATCAAAAGTAACCTCCACATGAAAAAAGTAATTTAAGTGTCTGCTTTGAATCATAATGCAACTCATTCGCAGGCAAATGTTTCAACTTTGTTTGTTATTTTTTTTTTTTCAAGTAAAAGCGTGTTGTGAGCATGCTATCACCTTTGTTCCTAAAAAATCATATGAAGGGTCACAATTACAGAACCTTGTGTTAGAACAAGCAGTTGCATCCTATATTGGTCATTACACCTGTAACAACCAAAGCAACTTTTTAATCATTTAATGCACTTCAGCTGTAAGGTGCAACATAGTAAGACATGGCGTCAAACACTATTGAAGGATTACAACATTCAATTTATACTCCTGAGTATAAATTCAAAGGATTGAACCACTGGTTAAAGATTGATGCAAATTTAATTAGTGACCTATCTTACTACTTTAACCATATTTTTCATATTCAAAGCAAAAAAGAAAAAAAAGAATAATAACAAAATTCCATATTCCCATGAGAATAGCACCAAAAAATTCAAAAATATATATATATATAACATATTTAAAGAGGGAAAAAATGGAGAGAACAGTGTTAAAAGAAAAGGGAAAATAAAAGAACGTCTATACCTACTTTGTGCCCTGTTTAGATTCCTGCCTTCAAGAAATCACAATCTGTCTGTCAGAAATGATGGACATGTCATAATTTCTAAAAAAGAAAAACAGAAAATAAATATTAATAAAATGTAAGGGATGGTGACAGTCACAAAAATTACATGTAAGGTGTCATATTTAAGGCAGTAATTGTTGCTACTGAACGGTGTTATGAGCTGAAGAAAGTTTTACAACAATTTGAAAGTCATTCACAACGACGTAAAGCTATTTCACTTGATCATGCTGAAAAGGGGTTGTTCGAAAATAATTAAAATTAAGAGGAATCGTATAATGGTCTGCTAACTTTAGAACACAGCAAGGTGAACTGGGAACTGAAACATGTCATTCGACAAATTGCGAAGGAAACATAGATAGTTTTTAGGAAACTTGGGCTATGTACCTCGTGTAGAATTGTTAAGCAGCATACTATCTAGATTGACAAAGAATAATCCCACAAACAGCCACGATGAACTAATTTATTCACACACAGGAGCAGGTGTTGATACGGGAACTTTAGAATGTAACAAAATTTCTTGAACTCAAATGTCGCATGGTTTAATCTCAGATTGAATTTGAAGGCGCATTGATTCTTTTTGAAAACTTCCATCGACAAATAATGCCACACTCGAGTTCTCGGAAAACGTTCTATTGAATTAGAGAAGGCAAGTCATTCTTTAGCACCGGAAAACGAACTGTATGGAAAGGGTTTCACTTTCAGTTTCCACACGCCTACTAAAATGGCAACTTCCGCCTTCACTAAAACACATTACGTTTTTCCAATCTGTTCGGTCGCACTTCCCTGTCGCTTCAATCTAGATTAGGAACGACTCCTGAGAGTAAAATAGTTGGCCCGAATACAAAACAGACCCTTACTAAAGTATGAAATAGAAATTTTTAGAGCGCATCAATTCATAATTCATGGTCGACTTACCCTTCAAGTGTTCTTTTCGTGAACGGTGCTTCAGACGAAATGATTACACCCAGGGCACGTCAAGAGGCTAAGCAATCGTCCTGAAAAGAGAAAACAGTAGCTAATGTATCAAATATATGTTCCACATACGCTTATCTCCAAAGACTCGTGTTAAAAGTTTCACAATCATACACATTCACGCGAATGATAGACAATACGTCGACAACGGATTATTGACAAGCGACTAAATACAGGAATGGCTCCGACCTGTGATTGGATGATAGAAATAGTAAAAGTTCATAATTTATATCTTAACTCCTTGCACGTGAGTATGGTTAACCGCGTGTCTCGAAGCGGAACAATGAAATATCAATGTGAAAAAACCGATGACTCAAACAAGAAATGGCTACCCACATAATGAAGAGAAGGCAGAGTCTAGCTTGTTCAGTGAGGTCGTTCAGCGATATTCCGGCGATGAAAAAGTCATCTGCTGACTAGCTCCGCTGACTAAATTCATTTAGTCAGTCCACGCGCACGACCAGAGACTGGAGCCATTCCTGTATTTCACCGCAGACAGGAATAGCTCCGACTCAAACGTTTAATAATTTTTTTTCAATAGTTTTTAAGTAATTTTTAAACAGTTTTTGAAAATAAAATTTAAAACTAAACTAGTGAGCAGCGCTGTGCGAACAGTAGTTTTAAAACAGATGAAGAGCCCGATGAATGGATTTGTCCTTCATGTGAACAATAACCTAGAAAATCAGTTTTCCACAGAGCATACTGTAAATTAAAAACATCTGTTGCAGCGTCACGCAACATTGCGTGATTTTCCAAACGTGA